AAAAAAAAAAAAAAAAAAAAAAAAACAGTACGAGTTTCAGTAAAACTACAAACATTACATTGAATACCAAGATATAAAAAATTGTGATATAGTGTTGCTGATGGTTGACCTGTCGATATAATCATTATTATCATAATGATTACTCCAACAGTCTACAACAATATAGGTTTGTATCGCATATTGTGGTGTCTAAGTATGTTGTACTGCAGTGGCTTGGTTGCTAAGGGACCGGTCATTATTTATTCCCTGAGGGGTGGGGTGGGGTGGAGTAATTGGGGAGATGAGAAGATTTTGATTGTTCCAGAATTAAATTTGTCTGTGCCACATGGAAAAATGTACTCAAACGAAAACTTACAAATAACTCACTATAAAGAAAAATATTTACCTTACAGTGGATAACTTTACAGGCATTTAAAAAAAAAAACAGGACACTGCTTCTTATAGAGTAGACATAAACATTGATCCACAGGACTACATTTCTGCAGAAACCCCATGAAATAACGCGACATAATTTACGTAACATTACGCAACGATATAAACATGAACCGCAGGTACACATCGCCGCCCGGGTGACAACTAATGAAACGTACAAACACGTTAACTAACAAATTAACATGTAAAAATAATACACAAGAAACAACAAGTGGGAGAGTAAAGTGTCATGTATTGCACAAAAACACAAACATATTGACACGGCTAGGTTTAGAGCCCAGACCTCTATACCCGGGGTCTAGTGTACTAACCATCAGGCTACTGAGACTCACTCTGTGTTTTTCTCAGCTCTGTAATATTCATAAGTTCCTCTTTCCCCCACACCCGCCCTCCCCATTGTCATTGGCATTAAATCGGCATCAATTCATCTATAGGTCCCCGATATCTCCTTTCATAATTGCTTTGTTAGAAGGCGCAAAGAGGTGACAAGACATTGTTTCTCTTCGTTAACAATTCGAAGCTCTCCTACATATTGCCGATTTTGGGATTTTGCAAACTAAAGATCTCCCTGACTGATTAATTTCACTTCCTATTGTTTTCATCGATTGTTTGGCCATGAAGCTGACTGTTTCAGGTAAAACAATCCATTCGCTTTTGCAAGATGGTTAACCATTGAAGAGGCTGTCTTTCTTATTTCCACTCGGTCAATTTCGCGCCAAAAATAATTTTGACTGAAACTCTAGCTGTCACCTGAAAGACAGAGCTAATTAAAACTAGATATGTTTTGATTCAAAATAAACTTGTGACTGCATTAGGGGCACTAATTATTTCCCAATCCGTAGGGGCCGTCGCAACGTCTCAAAAATTGAATAACAGGCATCCTTTGTAACATTGTAAGACATTTG